TAAGAGATGAACATCTATCAGCCTGGTCCCAGCTCCTTTCATAATTGTCCAAGCTGCCTTCTTTGTTGTTAGCAGTCTCTAGTTAAAGGTGGGCCAGAACCTATCCCAGTGTGTCCCAAAGTGGAGGATCTCAGTCATTACCTAGATGCTGGCTGATTAGAAAGCGGACCCTCAGACAATAGGTGAGAAAGTATATAGTTAAGCCCCTTCCAGGTAGACATTGGGAGTATTTTTGCCTGTTCCCTCTGCTCTGGGCCCACATGTATGTATAGCTGCAAGTGGCTATTCCTATGCCTGTTAAGAACTACTTCTTTGCTTGCTACTATCCTATAGGACTCATGAATGCAAGCTCCATTACTTTCAGAGCCAGGTGATTCATGGGCATGTCCCATGGGCAGCAGTGCAAAAGCTGGGGCACAAATGTGTTTTATGTTTCTTCCACAATGACATTGGTGGCTTAGAGTGGGCTGTAGGGAGAAAACAGGAGCCCACTAGTTTCCCCAGTTTCCAGAGAATGCATCTAGCCCCTAAAGAAAGCTGACCTGCAGTCACCAGCTTTCCAATTATGCAGATGATCCCCTTTTAGTTAAAAGACTGGGAAATGTGTGATTTTTGCCTGCTCCCTTTACACTGGGCCCAGGGAGGGTAGCCACAGCAAGTGTTTATATGCCAGTAACAACTACTTTGTTTGCTACATTCTTATGGGACACAAGTCTCACTGTTCAGAGCTAGGTGTTTTGGGAGACTGTCCCTCAGGTGGGAGTCTTAAAAGTTGGGGCACCAGATGTGCAGTCCCAACCCTTCACTCCACAGGGAGAAGCTAGGAGTTGGGGAGTTCTTTCCTCATTATCTGGTCTTGTGCCAGGGTGGGGTTTATTTTAAGAGTGTGTCTCAGCCTTTCACACCCATTTCGATGTGGCTATTTTCATTCAGCCAATGTGCAAGTCACTTAGCTAGCTTTTGGATTTTTTTCAGCAGTAACTGCTTTGTAGGTAACTGTACGCTGCATGTCCATGGAAGGAAGAAAGTTCAAGAGGCTCCTATGTTGGCATCTTGGTCAACCCTCACCTGGTAGCTTGTTAAAAATACCAATGCCTGGGCCTCAATCCCAGAGATTCTCATTTAATTGGCCTGGGACAGGGCTTTGGCAATGCTAATCATATGGCTGCCGCATATGATTCTAATGTGCCAAAAGGTTCTAATGTACTTTCTGTTCTTCTTGTGTATGTTCTAAGAAATGGGAATTGTATTACTACAAAGTCAAAAGCTATTTAGCTCTGGTGTTTGGCAGTATGAAGAATCAGAACACTGAAGAGAACAATGCAAAGTAGACACCTATACTTTAACAAAACATGAGTATGTTGTATTATCCTTTTGAATGGCAAATCCTTTTAATCAGGTGGGCTGTTTTTAAACTTGCTCACTCCCTACACTGCATTCCTTGCTTTCAAAAGAGGAAATATGGGGGCACCTGGGTGGCTCAGTCAGTTAAGCGTCTGATTCTTGATTTTGGCTCAGGTCATGATCTCGGGGTCCTGGGGTCGAGCCCCATCAAGCCCCACATCGGGCTCCACACTCAGCAGGGAGTCAGCTTGAGGATTCTGTCTCTCCCTCTCCCCCTGCTTAGGCACACTCTAAAACAATCTTTAAAAAAAAAAAGAAATACATTAAGTCTCATTAGATATACACTAGAAAATTGTGTGGAGTAACTCAGACCAGAAAGGCATAATTTTCATTGGTGTTCCTAGGCGTGCATGGCTTGGCAGCAAACTAAACATATATCACTTTATTGTAATATATTAAAGCAAACATTTAAAAGAATTGAAAACTGAGTTCCTCAAAAATACTAAAGAACCTGTCCCTTGGATTTTTGGTTTGTTAACATTCTTTGGAGCAGTACTCTTAAAGTATTAACCAATTCTTCCCAATTCATGGTCCTTATTTCTATTTTTATACTCTTGTGGCTCCTGAAGTAAAGTATTTCCTCCATCAGCAAAGCAAGTTACAGGCAAATCTTCTTTAAGAACCCTGCCATAACAGCTTATGCTCAATCCTTCCTGGGATTTCTTAACACGTAAATGCACCAGCCAAACCCAGAAATGCAGGTTGATCTATCACCACTAAACAAGTAGACATAAACAAAATCTGGTATGCAACCTAAGGCAAACATTGCTTTTCACCAAGTCTTCCCAACAATGCAGATTTGACTAATGCTGAAGTCATTAATGTAGCTCACTGCTGGTAATTTATTCTTTGTATCTTTCAAGTTACTGGTTATTTAAAAAATAAACTCCAGTAAAGCTAGCATATGGCTACACGCTTGTTTTCCATTTAGTCACACTTACCAAGCATCTTCCATGCACCAGGTACCTAATATGTGCCAGGGATAAGATAACCATCCTTGTCCCCTTGGAGATTATGATAGTAGTGGGCTGCCTGGGTTTGCTGCTGAACAGGATGGAGATATTAGTCAAGATTTTTGATTACAATCATTGAAAAAGGAATCTACTGGCAAGATCACAGGGTAGCCACAGAATCAATGATAGGTTGAAGAATGACATCCAGTAACTGGTACCATAGGGAAGGTTATGCGGCAGAAATATCACCTTCAATCCCCACATGATGGCTTCAATTAAGATATAAGAGCCAGGGAAAATTTTGGAGAACAGCTTAAACCAGAGGCTCAAGTAGTGGCACCAGAAGGTAGAGATTTTTAAATTCAGAACATAAGAATACATTCTTAAGAAAAAGGTCACTTCCTTAAAAAGAAATTCATCAACAGACACAAATGATTCAAATCAACATGAGGCTAATTGATATTCAATATAAAGACATGCAGGGCAAAATTTCTGAGTTACCTTTTCGATTTTTTACATATAAATAAAAGACTGTTGATTTTTGGACAATTCTTCCTACAGACTTTGAAATTGGGTCTCTCTTTTTTGATACCAATTTTCCCCCTTACCAACACTTTTAATTCAGCAGGCTACAGTGTTAATTTTTACAAGGTAGTAGTCTTCATTCAATATTAGAATTTACACTATAAATCTTTGTAATTAGAGTGTGATGTCTTTTTTTAATCTTTTAAATTTAAAGTGTAAGCTAAGGGACAAAGGGAAAAATAAGTTCCTCTATATAAATTAGCCCTTAGAATTATGGATGACAATTCACTGTTTAAACTACTAGCTGACAAGGAGGAAATGTATTGCCCCTCCCAATCTTCATAACAGAAAATGGGAAGTAAGGTCCTCTTAATAAGTGAATTTTCTAAGTGACATTAAAAGCTAAAACTAACATTTTAAACCCTATGCAACCCTGTCTGCAGTGCAGTCTACAATTCAATTTAGCCATATCTATCCCCAAACACTATTATCCTCCACCTTTGTCCCGAGGCAAAGCCCACGGCTGTGAGTTTTGTGTGGTCACATAGCCAATCCTAACAGCTAACATTTTAATACCAGCCACTATGGTAGTGGCCTTGATATGATGATTTTCATGTATTACCTAATTGGATTCTCATAAACAATCCTGAGGTTAGCCATATTATCATTTCCATTTTTCCAATGAAGGAATCAAGGCACAGTCAAGCTGAGAAAACTCAAGTAACTTACACTCCTCTCTTACAGCCATCAGCGGGACTTGTGAAGACCGGATCTAAGGCTCTGGATAAATCCCTTCTAGACACAGGCACTTGGATGAATACAAATTGCTACCTCCTCCATCTTCTGTGTGATAAAAAGGCAAGTTACCTAAAAATGTTGGCATCTATAAAAAGAGAGTACTACTTCACAGGATGTTAGGAAATGGGCGAGTCCTTATGGAACTTCTTTCTACAAGATAACATCTTTCAAGGTTTTCTATTTTTAAGAAACAAGATTTAGTAAGTTTTCTTTAAGTATACTCTACACCCAAGGTGGGGCAGAACTCACAACCCCGACATCATGAGTTGCATGCTGTATTGACTTAATCAGCCAAGTGCCTCTTAATGTTTTTTTCTGCTACCCTACAGGGTTTTGAAAGGCAAATGTATAAGGAACTTCTTTTCTATGACTTCCAGTGCTTTATTACCCTAGAGCAACGAGAGAATATAAAAGTTCTGTGTATCAAGTGCCTGGAAAATTTTATGCTTTTGTGTTACACTAACTGCCCAGCAGAGGTCTCAACCAGACAAATAGAAACAATACCATTGTACCATGCCCCTTCTCAGGCAACATTTTAAAGGGACAAGTCAGTGATCCAACCAAGTTTAGAGAGCTGCAGGGGTGACACTGTGGCATCTGCATCCATATAGTTTATGATGATATCTGGGGGGGGGGGTCTCAAAATACTATGAATTCCTGACATTTAAGAGAACTGTCAGGATGTCAAACCTGAGATGCAATTCAGTTCTTCCTTTTAGCTCAATTTCCCAAACTGATGGTCTCAAGGCAACAGCTTGCTAACTAACAAGGTAGGAAATCTGCTAGCAGTAGGTAATCTTAAACATGTCTCTATTAAAGCAAACATAAATCTATGGAGTGAAAACTTCAAGTAATTTAACAAATGTATTTGGTTTCATATATCATTTCCCCTAATTGTTTTATCAATAAAGTTGTTTACAAATGAGCTATATTTTACAAATAACACAAAGGCAAAAGCCACACTGGAATTCAGGTCTTCTAACACCTGGTCCAGTGATCACTTTTTCACTAATACTGAAATAAAAATTTAGTCATTTCTTTATAATTTTATAACCCTAAGATTATAATTTATTCTAAGTTCTGTCCTCAAAAAATATAAAAACTGAGTTACTTACTATCCTTAAAGTTGCAAATAATGTAGAAACATAAAAACATTAAACATTCAGTACATATTTTTAATTAAAAATGTATCTCCTGCTTCAGTAGTATGTGGGAGGGAGGGGGTTATTTTCTTCCCACTAATTAATACTTTTTTTAGTACCTTTTAAACAAAAAACTTGTACTTACTTTAGAAAAAAAGGATCTTATGTGCAAATAATCTGTGATGCTAAAACCATAAATTTTATTATCCAAAAACAATTAGGAGCTTCATAAAAGAAAACCACACAACCTATTTTAAAAGGCACTGCGATTCCTTTGCTTCTAAATCATTGCTATGCTGGAAAAATATATCTGGTTCTATCAGGAATCTCAGAATTAAGTATTCTCCAAAGTATAAAGTATATGGTGCCATTTCAGGAGCACACTATTCAGCTCTCACCCCCAACATTAAGAGCTGCCTATCAAAACAGTTAAAGTAGGTGAAAACAGTATAACATAATTAGGTTTCAATATGTGAGGCCAATATGCTCTTCAAAGATGCTAAGAAATCAAAACAAATTAAAAGATTACTTGCAACTAATTATCATACAGATTTAGTTCCTTGTTGTAAGCCCCCTTTCTGTATTATTAATACAGGGAATATTTTACTGCAAAGAAAATGTATTGTACATATTGCCAGCCATGAATTTTTGTCATTAGTTCACACATAAATCTGCCTAGTGCCACTATCCAAATGGCAGGATCACTGTTTATGTCCACACTTCACTCTGTATTTACAAAGAGAATTTGCACAACTTACATAAATGTAAACTCTCAGTGAAGATTTAACAATGGAGATGCAATCTAACATCCATAATATCTGATGTTTTACAGACAGCAATGTAGGAGAGATGCATTTTTAATTACCTTTCATTTGAGTGACCTTACTTAAGATATAAATTGATAATTCAGAAGTTCTTAGTCTCCTAAAGAGATTTTCAAATACACTTATAGAAAGTTAGTGAGATTTTTAAGAAATATCTTCCATGTCCACATCCTGTTGTAATTTCTGCACCATTTTTTCTTCCAGCTGCTTTCCTTTGCCTTAAAAAAAAAAAAAAAACTATCAATTCAATGTGACCTTGCCAAACTCATATCAACACGTTCTAAGAAATTTAAGAAGAGTAACTAAACTTACACAGGTCTTACAATATGCCATGCATAAAGTAAGCATTCCATACACATTTGTTCACTTCACCCTCCTAACAACCTGCATTTTAAATATGAGAGAACGGAGACCCAGAGACAAATGAAATTGTACCAAATCACTAAGTAAGCCCAGTAAGTCAAAGAGCTAGGATTGGAACCCTGGCCCTCTGGATTACCTCCCCTCAGAGGGTTACCTAGAAAGTTAAATAATGGTTCATTCCTGTTGTTTTGGGGTCAGTTCATTATCGCCTATACATAAAATTATGAAATAATGCTGAAGGATTTTTGCCTATTTTTGTTTTAATAAAATTTGGTACAAAAATTAACCTATTTAAGACTTTTACATAAATCTATTCAACGTGCAGTTTCAGAATTTGACCTTTATTAAAGTTTAGGCATGGAATCATTCAGGAATCAACTCAACTAAATCTCACCAAAATTTCTCTCCCTTAGGTAATCTGCATAAGTAAATTACATAACAGATGGTATCCGGTGCCAGCTGAGTAGAAAACTGGTTTTCCAGCACCTCACAAAAGAAACTATGCACACAAAAAACTGCCCAAATGGGTGACTACAGGCAAGTTACACACAAAAAATGTTTTAATACAAAACAGCAGTTCTCAAACTTGAGTATCAAAATCAGTATCCGAACCCAGGGAGCTACTAAGGAACCAAAGCTCAGACTCAAAAGGCCTGGGCCTCTGTATTTATACTAAATTCCCCCAAGTAATTCCCATTCCAACCAAAGTAAGAAAACCACTCCTACAAAACACTGTTCTTAATAAAAGCAAGTATGAAGCAAAATCTACGAAATTACTCGAATCTTTATGACTAGCTTATGGAATATGATTTTATGAAGGGGGAAAAGAAATACCATATGCAATAAAATTGGAGCTGGGAAATACACTGTATAAATCATTTTTAAAAACCAAGTCATATCATAAATGAGGTATTTACATAAAAAAATACCCCTAAAAAGTTGACTGATACCCATTTACATAGACTACAACAATGTAGATTTTTCAGCTCTCTACTGAAAGAGAACTCCTGTGTAATGTACTTACCTGCAAGAGGGGCCCGGATAAGATGAATGTTTTGCTTGACTTCTTTGATGTCCTGAACTTTCTGTAATTCTTTATTTTTCTTTAATCTAGGATAAAACATATCAAAGCCAAATTTTCAGTTACTTTAACTTCTTTAAAAGACATTAATTCATAATTTATAAATTTTATTAGCCACATAGATGAGCAATGAGAACTCAGAATTATTTTCTAGTTCCTAATAAGCTTAACAAATTAGGATTTCTACACTACCAACTTATTCATTGATTGTATCCCTAACTTAGTTGGGAATAATGTGGAGATTAATATATATTCGCTGAATGAATGAAGAAATGTGACTGAAGGAAAGAATTAAATCTCAGACATCAATGTCTATTATACAAATATAGTGTAAATCTCTAATTGCTAAAGTGCCTAGATGTTTTTCTCCTCAAACTGAGAATACATTGTGTTACCTAATTTTTTTAAGTCAGTAATTGTAAGAACACAAAACATAAGACATTCATTTTAGACAGACATGCTAACAGTCTTCCCCATTTAGGCTCCCTTTTTGTAACGCTTCATTTTTTTTAAAGCCAGAAAGCTGTTTGCACATGCTTTTCTATGGCACACTTAAGTAGAGATGAGATCAAAAATAAGTAACTCTAAAGAAATAACGAATTTTAGGGGTGCCTGGGTGGTTCAGTCATTGGGCATTTGCCTTCGGCTCAGGTCATGATCCCAGGGTGCTGGGATCAAGACCCGCATCAGGCTCCCTGCTCGCCGGGAAGCCTGCTTCCCCCTGCTTGTGTTCCCTCTCTCGTTGTGTCTCTATCAAATAAAGAAAATCTTTAAAAAAAAAAAACAATTCTAGGCTGGGGCCAGCGAAGTCCAAAATAAGGCCACATCTTGTTAGCCATAAAGCAAGAAAGCATCCCAAAAAAAATGAGATTGTCAAAATGACATGGAAGCCTGCCTGAAGGAACTCCCACTGGCCAATGTGGAGCACTTGGAACATCAAAATAAATAATGACAAATAATTGAATACACAGATATATGAATAATTAATAAAGGAATACATTCTGAAATTGGAAAAGGGAAAAGTTCTTTTATATGGGAAAGCCAACTAACAAGTGTAAAAGAAATTACTGAATTAGAAAAATCACCATTTGGCAACAATATAGTAACAGATTCAGACAAGACTCTACTGGATGCTAACACCAGTAGGCACCAGTTTGAGAAATAAGGGACTCTTTGTACAGAGTGTCCAAGTATTTCCCCTAAGATATGATTAAAAAGGAGGGGAAAAAACTTTCCAATGGAGAAAACTGACAGATACCCCTTAACCAAGTGATCAGTCACTTGGGACAACATGTGCTTCCTAATATGTATGTCCTTCTTATGTATCATTTCTATGATATTCTGGCCAAAATACCTAACCTGAATCTAATCATGAGGAAACATTAGACAAACACAAACTGAGGAACAGTCTATAAAATAACTGACCTGTACTCTTGAAAGATGTCAGTGTCATATAAGACAAAGATGAGAAAGTGTCCAGATTAAAAGAGCCTGAGGAGATATAACCACTAAATGCAATGCAAGATCCAGGATTTTCTGTTGCTATAAAGAAAATGCCTGGAACTGATGAAATCTAAGGTCTGTAGGTTATATAATAGTATTGTTCAATGTTAATTTCCTGATTTTGGTAACTCTACTATGGTTATATAAGAGCATGCTCTTATTTTTAGAATATATACACTGAAAAATACTCAGGAAAAGGGCATCATGTCTTCAACTTACTATAGAGATAAGGATACAGTAAAGAATATACAAAAGTTCTTTATACTATTAATTTCTTTAATTTTCTGAGGTTATGTGAAAACAAAAAGTGGAAAAAAAAAATATGTGGATCCCTACTAGTAATTATTTTTCCAACAGTTACTTGATACATATATTCATTCATACCTGTTCATTATAAATTTAGCTTGGCGCTTCTGTTTGATCTCTTCAACTCTCTTCATTGCATCAACTACAATAAAAATTCATAAGAGTTAGCAAATTTTTGCACATCCAAGCAAGAGCTTTAACGATCATTCCCCTTTATTCTCATTTAGAAATGGATGAAATGAAAAACTCACTGCAAAAACAATCCCTACTAAAACAGCTTAAGAAGGTAAATACTCTTGGCTGACATCACCATTTATCTTTCGCAAATATATCTCTATTTTTATTTTACAAAAGCCTTTACTGCTACTAAATTTTCCTTCTACTTTAAACCAGCCCAATGCTTCTCAAACTTCACAGAGAATCGGGATTAATGGCAACTTATCCCTTCATAGTTTGTCCTCTCCATTAATAAAAGCACCATTCTGGGCATAAATACTATTTCTTCAAGTGTCTGGGATATGACCTGCACATGATGAATATTGGTAGAATGAACCAATCATTTTACCATATTCCCAACCACTAAAATCCAACTGTTCTGGGAAATGTGTAGAGAAGGTGAATCCAAGTACACTCTAGAATCTATTCCAGCACTAAGACAAACCACATATATAATTTTAAATTTTCTGGCAGCCACAGTAAAAAATAAGGAACAGGTCAAAATCTAATAACAGATTTTGTTTAACCCAATATATCCAAAATACTGTCATTTCAACATAATATAAAAATTAACTGAGGTTATTTTATGCTTGTTTTCATATGAAGTCCTCAAAAATCACGTACTTTACATTTACAGCAAATTTGGATTCAGACTAACCACATTTTAAGTGCTCAGCAGCCCCTGTGGCTGCCATATTGGGCACACACTCCCAATCTAACTTCTTACATTCTATGGCTCTGAAGAAGAGCAGGATATTCACATACTCTTAAAATATCTCCCCACAATATACTTACTAATTACAAAGGATAAAATACTAACTTTACAGTGAAGAAACCTACCACCTTAACCAATGATTAAAGTTAACATGGCCCGTAATACGACCCCAATGGGTAGCATATGCCTCCTGGCAGGACACAATGATAAGAACTCAGCATCACATCTATAGTACTCCTACCAAATGTACAATACCCAACTCTAATCTTGAGGCAGCATCAGACAAAAGCTAATTAAGGGATTTTATACCAAATGCTTGAAACATACTCTTCAAAACTATCAATGTCATGAAATATAAAAACTCGCAAACTATTAAAATTTCAGAGACAGGGCATGTACTATTTTTTTTTTTTTTAAGATTTTATTTATTTGACAGAGAAAGACACAGCAAGAGAGGGAACACAAGCAGGGGGAGTGGGAGAGGGAGAAGCAGGCTTCCCGCCGAGCTGGGAGCCCCACACGGGGCTTGATCCCAGCACCCTGGGATCACGACCCAGGCCGAAGGCAAACGCCCAACAACTGAGCCGCCCAGGTGCCCCAGGGCATGTATTATTCTTACACAGGTCTGAGATTAGATGATCATACTGTATCAATGCTAATTTCTTGACTTTAATAACTGCACTATAGTTATGTAGGAGAATGTTCTATTTTTTAGGAAATATTCAATTTTTTTTAGTTCTATTAAACTACTTAGGGACAAAAGCACTATGTATTGCCAGGTGCCGCTTATGTATATAACTTAAAGTTCAGAAAATTATAGAAGGAAAGAAAAGGAGAGAGAAAATGGGTAAATTTAGTAAAATGTTATTTGAGGAATCTGGATGAAGGAATTCTGCAACTTTTCTGTTCAGTTTAAAATTAAGTCAAAATAAAAACATTTAAGTGTAGGATGCCTGGGTAAGCTCAGCCAGTTAAGTGTCTGCCTTTGGCTCAGGTCATGATCTCAGGGTTCTGGGATCAAGCCCCACATCGGGCTCCTTGGTCATTGGGGAGTCTGCTTCTCCCTCTCCCTCTGCCCTTCCTCGCCCCCTGCTCGTGCTCACTAATAAAATCTTAAAAATAAGTAAATACAACAACAACAACAAAAACCCAACACATTTAAGTGTAATCTGGGGTCCAGCAACATTGGCATCATTTGAGAGCTTGTTAGAAATGCAGAATCTTAGGCTCCACCCAGACATGCTATATCAAAATCTGCATTTTTTTTTTCAATTTGCTAACAAATTTTAATTAATGCTGTGTTTTTAATTTTTTTTTTATTCTTATGTTAATCCCCATATATTACATCATTAGTTCTAGATGAAGTGTTCCATGATTCATTGTTCGTGCACAACACCCAGT